TACTAATTTGGCTACTCAGCATTTCTTATTGTGTCACACATCTTTCTTGAATTATATTTCTTCTTCCTTTGATTAACCTACCTTCGCAAGCTTTGGTTAGTGGTAAGCTCTCTTAGTTTTATTTGGTTTGAAAATTCCTTAATTTCCTTTCATTCTTGAAACATACATTTTCTAGATATACAATTGTGGCTTGACAGGTCCTTGTTTTAGCACTTGTATGTACTTAACTGTTTCCAATTGTTCTTGAGAAGGTAGTCTTGGTCTGATTGTGGTTCCTTATGTGTACTCTCTCTCTTCTGTGTTCTACTATCTCACTATCACATAGGTGAGTATAGATTTCTTTCTTTTTTTTTAAATCCTGCTTTAGATTCCTTATGCTTCCCGAAAATCTTGATTTCTTTTATTAGTGTTAGAAAATTGTCACCCATTGTATCTTCAATGTTTGTGTCTTCCTCATTCTTTTCGTTATCTACTCTTGGAATTCTGATTAAACATACGTTACATTTTTTTTATTCTAGCTTGTATTTTTCTTAACCTTCCTTGTAGAGTTTCATTTTTATGTCTATCTCTGTGCCATGTTCTAAGCAATTTTTTGGAATATATCATCAAGTTCACACACTTTCTTTTCTGGTTTGTATGGATGCTATTTAACCTATTCATTAAGCTTTTAATTTAAATTATACTTTTCACATCTAAAATTTGTATTGGATACCTTTTCATATCAATCTGATCACTTTTCAAGGTCTCTTGTTCCTTAATGTATTTGCTTTATATGTTGCCATAACAAACTACCAAAAATTTAGTGGCTTAAGACAATACTCATTTTTATCTTAAAGTTTTGTAGATTAACAGATTTGTCCAAAACAAGTCTCACAGGACTAAAATCAAGGTGTCTCCAGGGCTACATTCCTTACTGGAAACTCTTAAGGAGAATCTCCTTCTAGGTTTATCACACTGCTGGCAGAATTCAGTTCCTTGCAACTGTAGGACTGAGGCCTCTGTTTCTTTGCTGGGTTTCAACCAAGGGTCATTCTCAGCTTCTAGAGGCTACCTGCGTTTCCTGGCTTGTGACCTCTTTCATCTTCAAAGCCAGCAAGAGTGGGTCCAATCCTTCCCAGGCTTCAAATCCCTCTGACATCCCATTCTGTCTCATCTCACCCAGCTGACTCTTCTGCCTTCCTCTGCTGCTTTTAAGGACTCATATGATCACATGGGCTCACCTGGATAACCCAGGATAATCTCCCTGTTTTAAGGTCTGCTGATTAATATACTTAATTATATCTGCAAAATCCCTTCACAGCAGTACCTAGATTAGTGTTTGATTGAATAACCAGAAGGCAGAAATCTTAGGGGGGACATTTTTAGAATTCTGCCTATCATACTTATTATATTTCCAACACCATCTTTTATATTTTCAAACATTATGCTTCCTCATTATATTCTGTATTTGATAATTAGAATATCTGCCGTCTTTGTAGTTTGATTCTGTTTCTTTTGATTATGTTGGCTCTTGCACAATATGCTTCATGTCTTGGCAGAATTTTCGAGTTTTGATTATAACCTTAGAAATTCTTTGAACTCCAGGTTGAAGAAGATGTTCCTTCATTTTTCCAGGTACTTGGGAATACTACGACCCAGGATTGTTTTAAAATAAAGTTTCAGTTTAAGCACCCCCCCGCCCCCAACCACACACCCACTGGTATTGAGACTTTAGACACCTAATTTGCGTGGTTATGAATTTTCAAGGGAGATTCTACTGCTCCACTCAGTGCGTAGGTCAAAATGTTAAAGTTCCCTTGATGTTTCCCTCTCTAGGCAGGTTTTTGTCCTAGCTCACATTTCATTGAGAATATAGTCCTTTGAGATCCTAACGCTACATAGTTTTCCATTGAACCCCTAACTTGTCTGGGTCCCACCTTTGTCTCCCATCCCTTGTACTCTGTATACCTATTAAAGGAAAATTTCAAGATCCCTAGGGCTTAGCAGTTGTCACTTTCTGTCTTTGCTTAGTCTCTGGATTATTGCTGGTGCTTCACCATCTTTCTCTTTTGAGGACTTCCATCATTTTCCTGCCGACTACAGTAACATATGTTATATAATATTTTTAATTATTTGGCCTCAAGAAGATCTCCCCTCTCCCGCCCCTAGATCTGTACCACTGTGCTATCATTATGAAAGGCCCCTTTATTTCTTGTTTCAAACCCCATGTCTTTTTCTTCCTAGACAAATGAAGATCACCATGGTTGGAAAAACCTTTTGTTTTCTCCTTTAGTTATATGCTGTTTCTAGTGTTTACTCCTGTACTAGTCTGATCTCACCCCTGCAACGGAGACCTCTATTTTTGATATTTGCATTCCCAAAACTTACCCAGTAAATTTTCACTTTGACTAAAGTGCTTCATTTGGGAGTAACATGGCTGATGCTGCCCTGGAGTAACAATTTTAACTATTTTCCTTTTATATTAAGTTAGAGTAATAAAACTGACCCAGTTTGTTTGGGTTTACTCTTTCATTGTTAGTACAACCCTTCTCCCTCCTAAAAATAAAAACATGTATTTTGGTAAAATCGACACAGTCCAGCAAAAACAACAGCCCTTCATTAATTAAACAAAAAAATTTTGAAACAAAAGTGACATCACAAAGATTCTTATCAGATATTGAGCCATTGCAGGCATATAGTAGTATATTTAATAATAATCTTTTACATATAATAATATGTACTATACATGTCACGATGCAATTAATGTGCTATGATATTGTTTTATCAATTTTTGCTAGTGAGTTTAATTAATAATATTGGGCTAAAAGTGTGCCTCCCTACCTCCCAGGCTGAAAAGGAGAGAACAAAGCCTTGGATACCAAGAAGGTGAAAAGAGTGCTCACATTTGAAAGGAAGGAAGTCTGAATTCTCGAGATGCTGACATGTACAGTAGCAGCTGGAGTGAGTGAAGGATACACATATGCCAGGGGAGCCCTCCAAGCACTTGCATGAACAGACAGTAAATAGGCACTTAGTGAAATTGCTACTATTATCTAGACAAGACCCAATTCTAAGCAAGATACTGGGATTTAAAGTGACAAAGATTTCTGGTTAACCTTTAAGTAAGGATCAAGATAATAACAAAAACACTATCTACCACAGAGTGGGAGGACAAAGATTTGTTTGATCATCTATTGAGGTTGCCTTTTGGAAACTTTCAAAGGCAGTATGCAACTCTCAAACTAAAAGAGCCTGAGAACTTTGATGGAATTGGGACAAATGTGCAATGGATGAGTTGAATCATTTTTGATATTTCAGCTAAACATAAAGATGTAGCAAGAGAACTATGTGGCTCACTTCAACAAATTTTGACTAACTATTATTTTTCCTATACTCAGTTGGCAGCTGTTGGAAGTAATCCATTAAAATGATTCAAGCTGAAATGTTTATATTATTTTCTTGAGAGCAAAACTTACTCATTATAGTTTGAAAAGTCATTTGATTTTTTCATAATGAAAATGTATTCATCATATAATATAATTCGGCAGTGATAAATTGAAGGACTAGGAAGAAAGCAGAAATGTAATAAATACTATGGATCGTAAACAAATGTGTAATATATGCTAGGGAAGGGAATAAGTGAACAGAGTGAACACAGACGATATATACAAGCAGCAATATTATATTTTATGGTTTAAATGGACAAATTTTTCCAAGAAAAAAACTGATTAACTTTGCACTGACTAATTAATGAACAGACAAATAGTAAGCACGGACAATCTATCATACAAATTTTAAAGAAATGTATTCTTTTTTTAAAAAAAGCCTCTTTAGTATATTTAATTTGCAAGAATAACTTTATAAATAATGTCACTTGCAAGAAAACTAAACCAGATCTGATGAATTCTATGGAAATTAAAAATAGCAAAGGTTTTTTTGAACCTTGTCTTTCATTTTATTATTATTATTTTTTTGCTGAGGAAGAGTAGCACTGAGCTAACATCTGTGCCAATCTTCCTCACTTTATATGTGGGTCACTGCCTCAGCATGGCTGAGGAGTGGTGTAGGTCCCTGCCTGGGATCTGAACCTGCAAACCTGGGCTGCTGAAGCAGAGCACATGAACTTAACCACTAAGCCATGGAGCCAGCCCCTCTTGCATTTTATTTTCAACATGAGAATTGCTGTGTTTTAACTTTTCCATCTTTTCCTAACTGCACATTTTTTTGTTGTTGTTGTTGTTTTTGATTGCTATTTTTTTCCCATTAGCCTAATTTTGGAGTGCCAGTAGGCCTTACTCTTTCACATCCTGAGTGCCAGGAGACTATTCTCTTCCTATTTTTGTTTGAATGTTCAGTTCTTTTTTCTTTTTGATTTGCCCAGAAGTAATTTATTTTTCTCTTTTGTAAATATATCAACAGTTTTAAGTTATTTTTTATTTTCCATCTAGCATTTCATTTCAGTGTTGACATAAGGGAGTTATGTGACTTTTTTCTGTCTGTATACATAGTGACAATTCATTTAAATTTCTGAATCTCTTCTTTCTACATATGATGTTATATATTTCTGAAATAAGATGACACTTAAGCAAAATTGTTATGCATATACATAAATGGGTTAATAGTTTTATAGTGTTTAGCTTTCTTTCCTAACTATACTGCGCTAATAGTGCAAATCATAGCAAGTTTTATCCATAGCTTTACAAAATGCATTTCTCAGGGCACTGAGATCATAGAAGTATGAATTACATTACTCTAACCATGGAGTCATCTAGAAATTAATCCTTATCTATGAGTTTTCTGTTGTTTAGTGGATTCAGCTATAATTTTGGAGCTACTAATTCAATTTCAATGTTCACACTACATGTATGTATCAAGAATAATCTGATTAGGATTTTTTAAATGAGGGAATGCACATTTTATTTAGATTAAACTTTTATTTTGCACCACCAGATGACCACAGATTTGGTTTTCCAGAAAATTCCCTGAACAATACTACAGAAATGAGTTATCCAAGTACCTAATTAATTTGTGTATTTTTTAATTTTTAGCTTCAAGGGAAGTTTCTCAAATAATAAATTGACATTTGAAATGTTACACAGAACCCAAAGTGTAAGATGAAGCAAATAACCAATTCTCTTTGAAGGTCAAGTTATAAATGATTCTTATGATGAAGCAAGATGCATATGGTCCATGAGCAAGATCTCCACCATGGGCTTCTCATTGAAAGCACATAGATGTTCTTTGGTTGCATCTCAAAAGAAATGTAGACTCTGAGTTATGACGGCAGGTTTTAGATGTTCACTGGACTGCAGCAGCCACACCAGGTTTCATTTAAATGTCAGCAGCTTTCCAGAGCCAAATTTTGCAGTGAATTCTTAATGGTTCCCAAAACTCACCACAGGATAGTCAGAGTATTTGTGCTTTTCATGGCATGGTCTGATTAATAAGTGAAGGAGCCCAAGAAGGGTAAGTGTTGAGGTCAAACATGGGCACGATCCAGGTGAATATGCCAAGCATCACCACAGCAACACCCACAATATTAATGCCAAGTCCAGCTTTAACCTTCAACAGGAAAGAGCATAAATGTCAGTCTCCTAAAAAGAAAATCTACGAGAGAATTGAAATATTGTTTCAGGAGGCATATGTTAGATTTACATGCGCCCAACGATTAGTATAAATCATTGATTTCATAAAACAAGGAATTCTTCCATTCATGTCAAAAGAGAATTTTGTCCCCAACTAAATGCCATTGAGCTGGAAAGTCTCAGAGAAGTTCCTCTTAGGAATATACTGAAGTCATTCTAATGTGAGAAAAATCCTCTTAAAAATCTGCCATTCATGTTAAATCAGGATTTGAGTTTCATGGCTTTGTACTTCAGTCACTATGTGATAAATGGATCCTTTGTATTCACTCATATTACTGTTAGTTTACCCTTCGGTATTCTTTTATTGAGATTTAATAATGCCACCTCTATTCATCTTTCTTAGAGTTCCAATTTTTCTAGCTCTGATATCAGCATTTTGGTGTCCATGAAACATCTCAAAGTTGCTTTCTATCCATTAAAACAGAGATCAGCAAACTAATGCCCATGAACTGTTTTTGTAAATAAAGTTTTATGGGACCACAACCATGCCCATTTCTTTACGTTATTGTTGGCTGCTTTCAAGACACAATGGCAGAATTGAGAAGTTGTGACAGAGGCCATCGGCTCACAGAGTTTCAAATATTTACTATCTGTTTTTTTTACAGAGAAAACTTGCTGATCTCTGCATTCTTTGTATTAAAACATAGAGACCCAAAGCAAAAGGGGAATACCTAGCAATTAATATAGAAGCCTCCTTTTCTGTCCATGCAAGCCACTCATTTATTCCAGAATCCTGTTTTCATTTTTTTTAACTCACATATATTGGGCATTGCTTATTATATTATGGACATTTTCTTTACCAAAAGGATATGACAGAACTTTTGCATAGAGTCATTTCTACGATTTTTACATTGCACAGGTTTAAGGACAGCAATCTATATGGAAGGAAGGGAGCTGGGACTTTTCTGGAAACTGCGTTTGTGTAGCAAACTCCCTGAGTTTACTTTGATTATATTCTTGTTTGCTTTGGTTTGGAAGTTGATGATCAAGATTGTGGGGAGACTAGAATATTCTCAAACTAGTTCTTGACTACCACTACTTTTGTATTTGACAAAAAACATGCACGTTTTGTCACCTAAATTTTCTATTATTGCTTGCTTGTGCTTTCATTTCAGGTGCCACTATTAGAATCAGAACAAGATGACTTTTGATCATCAGGCACTGAGTGCAATGTCTTATTCAGAGCAAACATCAGTTGCGTAAATATTTGTGATAGCAAACCACGGTACTTGATTGCTAAATTTCATTAACCTTATTACCTCCTTTTGCTTAGGTCAAGTTGGATCCTGATCTTCACATCTAAATCAAGCATATTCTATGCTCTTTTCCTTCTTCTAGGGCATTACTGATGCATTCAATATCTCTGTATCTGTGACTGTAAATTTAGTGACATGTTCACTTCTGGTTATTACTCAAAAACAATTCTATGACCTGTCATGCACTCACCTTCAGAAGCAGAACTCAAGCCTGGCTTTTCTTGGCAGTTGGTTAGTGTGTAAAAGAGGAGATAACCCAAGACATCACAAAAAAAGTCTGTTGGACCAACAGTATTCTTTCAGCTCACTTACCATGTCAATAACTTTTAGATGGCCATATGAAAAAACAATAGCGTTGGGTGGATTTGCTACTGGAAGGAGGAATGCAAATGAAGTACACAGAGTAGAAGGTAGCAAAATGTAAAGAGGGTTCACATGAATGGCTTCAGCCTGTAGGAAAAGATAAAAGAAGTCTAAGGAACATTTTGAGGTGGCACCAAGCATCAGAATGAGCAAAATTATTACAATAAGCTTTCCTAGAAGCAGATTGAAACCTAAAGACATAAAATTATACACAGAAATGCAGTTATAACTTGAAGAATATTTTCCAGAAAATTTGTCTTCCTCTTATTCCTTTTCATATGGTTATTGGTGCCCATTTAAGTATAATAACTGTTATTTTTAGAAAGTAAAATATCATTTATTCCAGAAAGTAAATAAAAACAGCAACCACTTATTATTTATCTAGTGCTAGGTGCTGTGCTAAGTTCCATATATATATGCTTATATATGTGTTTATATATAATATATATATAAAATTTTATATATATTAGATATATAATATAATAAACTTAATATATTTACATACATAACTTAATTTTCAGACAATGATCTTATGAGATGGCTACTATAACCCCAAATAACAGATGAGGAAACTGAGGCCCAGATGAGGAAACTGAGGCCCAGAGAGGCTAAACTAACTTGTCCAAACACACAGCTGGCCAGCAGTAGAACTTCAGTAGGGTCTCAGGTCCCTCTGGCTCCAAAGCCTCTCATCAAACCACACGTTACTGCCTCTGTGACATACATTTTAGAATTTGTTTGGGAATCATCACAGAAGAAGAGTTACTACTATTCTTAATTCATCATATAATTTTCTAATTGCTCCATGTTGAGAAATAAAGAACAGAAAAAACCAAAATGTTTTACCAATATGAACTGCCTACGTTTCTTTTCTAATTTGAAGCAGCAGTTCAAGAATGCCAACATATGCCCCTGAACGAGCGGCAGAACAATTCTAGAGGGGCAATTCTTCTTAATTTAAAGTACTTTCCTCTCATCAAACCCATCTGTCCCAATAAGAAAAACATTTTACTTCGAGCTATTTCTTGTAATTGCTAGCTAGGTGGGAGAAGAAGGAAGGCAGTCTTTCCCTCTCTCTTCTTGCAAATCCGCTTCTTACTTATCATTTTAAAATTCCTCCCTGGGCAGTGGAGAACTGTGTCTAAGACATTTAAGCTTGAAGCCTGAAGTATAAGCCTAGATTTTCATTCACTTGCAAATCACTTATATGAACCCTTCTCAGCAATTCGGGAATAACCTTCTGGAGGGAGACATGTCAGCGTTAGAGATCTAAACGCTAAAGTTGCCAGGAAACACTGAATCCCAAAGTCTTACAGTTGCAAAGGATCTAGGCTGACTCTCATTTATCTGCCCATGAAAAATCTGGGTGGAGAGAAGGTAAGTGGTTCACTTAAGATTGTTCTGCTTGAACATGGAAGAAAATAATTCTTCTGAGTTGAGGTATCCTAAAAAAGCATCAATACAAATCAAATCACTCTGTAAGTTACCTCCTGGGGGACCATTCAAGCCAAAAATGACTCCACACCACAATATGAGAACAAGCAAAGTAGAACCCTACTCTTTAAATGAAGACTATAAATGAGATAAATGAGATACTCACCAATGGCGATAATATTGGGAGAAGGAGGGTAATGGTAGCTGGATTGCTGGCTACCTCTGTTAACGATGTGACTATCAAGGAAGACAGCAGAATTATCAGCCATAGCGGTAATGACCCTAGAGGAGATAATTTATTTCCTATCCACTTAGATAGTCCCGATATCTAAAAAAAAAGAATTTGCAATATTTGTTATTCATGAATAATTCATTTTAATCAAACACAATTTAAATATATAAAAAGCATTATTTGCTCTAAGAACTCAACTTCTTAAATATAATTTTAATCTCATATTTTTCTGTAGTTTGGTAGATCTAGGTGGCTTTGACATAGGGAAATACTCAATTATTTTTATTTAAACATACCAACATGCTTTAGGAAATCTGAATTGTCTTCTCCCAATTTTCAATTAAATTTTCTCTAATATATGTGGGTATTTTAGTCATGTAGTACGATAGGACTTTATGAAAAGAGCAGCTCTTCTGGTCTACCTCTCTCTACTCCTAAGTTGTGTTCCCCAGAGGCAATAGCTTTCAACCCCTGTTAGCTATTTATAGCTATGTTTAGGTATTCAAATCAATTTTTCAAAATTATAGTTTTTCCTAGTTTTCATGTTTATACATTATCTACTGACTTCCTAATATATGACACCATCCACCATAAACATATTTCCTGTGCCTCCATTCCCTTATACTCATCTATTAACATTTTTTGGTTAAATCAATATTTAAAGTTTACCATTATGATTAGTATTGTTCATACCTGAGTCTCTTAGTGTACTGTGACTGCATTTAGCTTTTTGTTTTACTGTTTTTTTGTTTGTCTGTCTGCTTTTCCAGGGAATCATTGCCTCAATCTTTCGTTTGCTTGATTTTCTAAGGACTTATCACTAATTCTTCAGCATACTCTCCAGTAAAATTGGAAAATTCCCCATGAGTGGACAAACATATTAGGTAATTGTTCTTTCTCATTTTCTCTCATGAAGTTGTCCATTATGGAATATTCCCTCCTTTGGCTCAATGTGGATTAGCTACTCTTTAGATCTACTCTGCTGTTGTTTTGAAACCTCTCTTCACTGGGGTACCATGAATTCCTTCCCTACCCTCCTATATGGGAATCCTTTCTTGTTAACTCCTTTGTGTTGGTGAAACACATTCTTCCATAGCTTCCTGAGAACTGATACATGGGAAGTAAATTTTTTTACTGTCTGCGTGTCTGAAAACCTCTTTATTTTCTTTTCACACTGTTTTGATAGTTTAGCTTTTGCAGAATTCTAGACTTGAAATATTAATCACTCAGCAGTTCCAAGCCATTGCTCCATTTCCTGTGGCTTCCAGTTGAGTTCTTTAGAAGCCTGATGACATTCTGATCTTGGATTCATTGTTCATCATACAGAAAGATTGGGTGCACTCAGATTGGTAGATATGTTATTCTATTTTTCTCCCCAAATGGAAGGGAAAATCCTCCATTTATGAGAAGATTTCAGTGAGCTAGTGCATGTGTGAATCTTCAAGCTCATGACAAACTAGGATTGTTATCAGTAAAGCTCTAATTACAAGCTGTATGCTGTCAGATGAAAAGTTGGCAAGAACATCCCCAAATGTGGATGCCAGATATTATGCATGTTATTTGTGGTTTTGACTTACATTTTGTTTGTTTGTTTTTGTTTTGACTTTTAGATGGAAAAAGACTGTCTGCTATTTAAGTCACATTAGCACAAATTCATCCTAGAATACAACAATGTATACTCTAAGAATGGATTTTGTTTATGTCTGACTAGATGCAGCTGGAAAAGATTACACCACATATTGGTCCCCCTCCCTGGAAGCCACTGGGATCATATCATCGCACCGAAGTTTCTGAAATTCCACGTGAACTGCTTGGATATTGAGCACTCAATAGCTTTCTCAGTCCAGAATCTCAAAGTCTTTGGTTCTAAGGAATTTCTTGCATTATTTTTTGGAAACATTCTTATATTTATTCTTTTTTTTTTTTTCTCTTTCTGAAACTCTTATTAGTTGGCTGTTGGACATTTTGGATTGATACTCTAATTTTCTTCTCTTTCTCTCTTTTTCATTTACCTTCTCTTCATCTTTTTGTCCTACTTTCTGAGGTAGGTTCAAACTTCATCTTCTAACCATGCTACTGAATTTTTAAATTTCTGTTACAATATTTCTTATCTTCAGTGACTCTTTCTTATTTTCTGTTTATTCCTTTTTCCAAAAAAGTAAGATTTTATTTTAGTTTTGTGTCTTTGATGTTTCTAACATCTCTTTGAGGCAGCAATGACAAATTTTGAAAGTTTTCTTTTGCTTCATGCATTTCCTTCCTTTTTCTGTGTTCCTTTTGTTGTTGTTCTTATTTTTTTCTTACTGGTTATCATTTCAGAGACTTTCCCAATTGTCTGGTGATCCTGGACTACCTATTCATGTTTAAAAGGGAGGCAATAAAATGATGATTGGAGGCTCTTCGTGTCTAGGCAAGGATTACTGAGAGGCAGACTTTACTACAGGAAACTAAGCTATGAGCTAGTATCTCGTTGATTCAATTTTGTGAAAGAGTAAATCTAAATTTTCTACCAGGGAGGAGAAAGAGCAGTTGCCTGTTTATTCAGGACTAGAGAGAGTATCTGGGAAGCTCACAGCTCCTTTGGCACTTTTTAAACCATCCTGCATTTTTAGTCTTGTTTTTTTTTCCCCGCTTTCGGTTAATCTGCTGCTTCCAATTTCTAAACTCTTCCAGGATCCTGTGGATGAATCAGTTTCTTTCCAGTTGGCTCTTCCTTTTGCAGGCCTATGTATTTTATCTTTCTCTACTTCTTCTACTACACAAAGTCAGTTACCCCTCAAACATCCTCTTTCTATCTTCTAAATTTTATCATATCTCTTGTATGTCATCATTCCTGCTGTATGGTCTTTATCTTTGTGAACAGATACTCTTGTTCTATTATTGCCATTAGTGGAGATCAGAGAAAAACAGTGTTAATCCTCCACGTTTAACCTAGGAGAGAAATTTTGAGGGATGTGTGAAAAAGGAAGAGGAGTTATTGACTGACAAGAATTTAAAAGTGAGTACCAGCTCATGAGAGTTTAGTCATGTTAAAATAAAATCAAGGGGCATTCAAGAGAGAGGGAATTCTAACAAGGTGAATGCTTTAGAAGTTGCTTTCTCATGATTCCCCACTGGAAGGATTATCTATTTCTGGACGTTTGCTAAACTAATTACAATTTGGAACAAAATTTTTAAAAGTTAACTGTCTCTAAATCTTTGTAAAACCAGTTTCTAAGGGCATATTTGTCCACAGTCATAGTTTTGAAGCTCATGGCTTCAGTCTGACCGCTTAGGGCTAGGGTTACAGCGCGCATCCCATAGAAGTCTGATTGTGCGCACTAGGATTTTCACAGCAAACTAGACCTCCTCCACGGCTTCCTTAATTCTTCTAATGAGAGAGCCTAGTTCGTCAGACTAAGTCCATACCTTTTTGTTTCCTTAGATTTTGTTATTCTAGGGTCTGGCCAAAGCTTTTAAAACTACTTTGAGTGTCTAGGGTCAAATCCAGACATATATTCTGGGAAGGAGAGATGAACAAAGTTCACATCAATGCTCAGAATTACCGATTCTGATTTACTCACAGTTCAAATTAGCAGACATAGGAATGCAAGTTATTTATTCTGAGAAACCAGATCTCATGACTGCTTAACTAGTAGAAAAGTGCATTTGTCTTATATTTCTGTCATTTATATTTGAGCACTCTATAAGGTGAGCCAAATCTAGACCTAAAATGACTTGTAAGTGGCACACAGAATTTAGACAATTTCTAAAACTTTCACCTATTACTAAATCCTATTGCTGAAAGCTCAGTATCCAAATGCCATACAGACAAATTGACAATAAAGTCAGAAGAAGGAAGAGAACAGAGCAGATAGTTATTTGTCTTGAGAAGTATAAAAACCTAACTTCCCATAAACTAAAAGGCTGGACACACCTTCCTCGTCATCCTTTTTCATTTGATGACTGAATAAGGAAATGGAACAGCCATGTACTTTGAGTGTTTCACAGAAGGATATGAAATCCAGAAATAAGAGTTTTTTAATTATTCAAAGAGTAAAGGATTTTCATGGACTTTTTGGAGAAGGTACTTTTCTTCCAGCAGCCCTACAATGACCAGGGCAATTTCAAGGGACAAGAGCTTCCTAAGACTTCTACTTTATATCAACTGGATAGATAGGCCAAAGAAATAACCAACTTTATTCCTCATGGTGGTTTTATTTCTCCTTAAAATTAGATACAATACAATATTAGACACGATTATGTGAAATTCTGTCTGGACTTCATTCAAGAAACATGTATTAAGTACCTTTAATGCTCCTATTATTTTGCATTCTCCTTCCTTGGCAACATTAGGACCAGGATACATTGAAGAGAACTCTGAGAGCTACTCAAATTCATCATGAAATAAGGTAAAGGTATGAACAAACAAAAAGAATATGTTTTACTAGGATTCACTGTGCATATGATTTTTATGTAAGTTTCTCTTACTAAGCTAGTCTTCTAATACTATTTTGTGGATTAAGAATTCCAATCTTGTTTGCTTTATTCCTTTTGACATGCTGGGACATCATAGAAAATGATGTTTTATGCTTGCAGTCTGTAAAAATTCTTGAACTCTGAACTCACTCTGTGTGGTATACTTACTGCATGGCTATTGAATTCTGCATCATTAAAATGATGGGATGAAGTTGAATATGCCAAAAGCTTGAGTGTCTCTGTGTTCTTCTTTGGAACAGTCTAGTTAATTTTTAAATATCTTAGACACAGTATTACCTCACAGCCATCTGCCAAGGCAAACCCTCCACCAACAAGAATCGCTATATCCCAGGGCATGAATGACTGGAATTCTTTCCAAGTAATCAGTGGAGAGTAATCAAAAGCAACTGGAAAACAAAAGTTCCACAGTTACACATTGCTTAAAATATGACAGTATGACATGTTTTTTAAAAATTATCCTAAATAGCCATCTTATAAGAAGTTTTTAATATTCCTATGTTATTTTTAGATAGAGGACTTGATCTGGACTTTGGGTAATTTCCACCTGGCCTAGGAGGAACATGATATTATAAAAAAGGAAAAAATACCGTAACTTGGAAAAATCCTTTGGATCATATTATAGAATAAATTTAGATAAGTTACAACCTTGTAATTTATAATGCTATTCATTCATTCCACTAATACCTTTGCCTACTATGAGTAAGACAGTGCATTGGGCAATACTATTCTTTGCTATGCAAAATGTTTGTAATATTCCATTGGTTCTATTATTGTCAGTGTAGCATTACAATTATTATTCACTAATATTTATTTGAATTTTATTATTTTTTCAAATCACAAGAGGGGTCATAATAGATTCGTTAGGATTCCAGTTTAAAATAATACAAAATTCAGATTAAATAATTTAAATATCATTCATGAGACCCTTGAAATGCTCATTGAGCAGTTATCATAAAGATTTCTCTTGATATTTGGGTCCTGATGGCTTCATTGATTTGTTGAGAAATAAGGTCATCCATGAACACATTATGCCCGTTTAACATTTGTGTGTAACAGACAGCCTTGCGCACGGTGAGATTTTAATGTTACTATTAAGCGTCCTTCCTATCTCCTTCCCCTAAAAGTAAACCAAACCTACCCTCACTGTTGACTAAAATTTTTCTATTTCTTACTTAGATTAAGACCACATATGCTGTTAAAATGCAGACATCTCTGAAAAGTACCTCCCATTTAAAATGTAACCTATTATGTTTTATATGTCCTTTTTAAGCCTAGTATAAATGAATTTATCAGGGAGAATAGGAGTTGAAGAATGAGAAGAGAGAGACTGGTGGATAGAGGCAAGGCTTTTTCTGAGGGGGCATTTAGATGTGGGAGCCAGGGAAGTTAAGCCAAGCATCGCTTCCTCAATACTTGCCCGTGTCAGGCCTTTGGGCTTTGACTGCAATAATCAGAATCCTCAGGGTCCCATAGGAATCAAGGCTCTGTTTTGCACTGTCTCCTTATAACGTATTTTCAGATGTTCTAGTCTCAAGTGAAGAATATTTGAGGCATTTATAGAAATAAAGGCATTCATGTCTATGCTTTGCTGTTACATAAATAATGTCCTAGAAATCTGACCCATTAGTCATTTACCAATTCTGATGCAAGGGGTCAGGTGGACCACCCAATTCCATGAATCCCAGCGAAAAGAAAAGAAAAGAAAAACCAGTAACAACAAAAACCCCACAAGGGGCTGGCCTGGTGGCATAGTGGTTAAGTCCCTGCGCCCTGCTTCGGTGGCCTGGGGTTTGCAGGTTCGGATCCTGAGTGCAGACCTAGCACTGCTCATCAAGCCATGCTGTGGCGGCATCCCACATAAAGTGGAGGAAGACTGGTACAGATGGTAGCTCAGTGACAATCTTCCTCAAGCAAAAAGAGGAAGATTTGCAACAGATGTTAGCCCAGGGCCAATCTTCCTCACACACACACAAAAACAAATAAAAGAAAACCCAAAACTTGAGCCAGCCCTGAGGGTCTAGTGGTTAAAGTTCTGTGTGCTCAGTTTTGGCAGCCTGGGTTTGATTCCTGGGTGTGGAATCACACCACATATCTGTCAGAGGCCATGTTGTGATGATGGCTTTTATAGAAGAACCAGAAGAATTCACAATGATGTATTGGGACCTTTGGGGGGCAAAAGAAAGAAAAAAAGAGGAAGACTGGCAACAGATGTTAGCTTAGGGCAAATCTTCCATAAAAACAGACCAACAAACCATGCTAAGTTAAAGCCTTAAAAAAAACCCACAAGAGTCTACTCTACTAGGCTCTTTCAAAACAATTTTAAGTCATTTGTCTCACATTCACAACACAAGAATCTAACTACCAAAACATGCTGTGTTAGCATAAAGCATAGATGTGGGTGAATCCTATGCTTAAGAATATGTGTGTGTGCTGGGGACAGGGGGTGTATGCTCATGTAACCAGGCATGCTTCTTTGCCTATGTGTTATAACGACAATGAATGCTCCCAGTAAATACCTTTTCTTTCAATCATGACACTGGGTTACAACTAGCGTGGGGTGGATTTGCATGTTCTCCAGGACTACTATGTAAGGTTGTGAATACGCTTCCCCTTGAAACTCCTCACCACTTTAGATCCTCACCATTTATTACCAAGAGCTCATCACGAAGTAATGACTTCCACGTTCTTGTTCCTATGTTTGTCAAGAGTAAATTCAATTCTGATTTTGGCAGGGGAATGGGGCTTATCATAGACCAAACAGATTCACTGGGAGCAGCTTCCTAATGATGGTGCATAAAGAAATCTACTTCTTGCTTCTGCAAAGTAAGATGACCCCCCTTGTAGGCAGATGGTGCGTGCTGGCTGAATAGGAGCTGCAGGGTACAAACAGGGGTTGTGTCAACATGTCCATTCCTTTTGTTCTAGGTGCTAATCGAAATCAATGGCATTTTGTATTTTTTGCTCTTCTATCAAATTCATTCAGAATTATAAATAATACTCAACTAATTTCTCCTGTAGGTGTAGTCTTAGTCAATGTCTTAGCTGGGATAAGAAAGAATAGGAGTCCTACAAGTAAGGCAACGGTTGAATCTGTAACAAAACCGAGATACCTGAAAAAGAACAAATGTGTATGTTAAAAAATGCCATCAAGAATTTGCGTGAACCAAACACCAATTGATTCAGGTATAGGTATAGGTTATTTATTTCGGATAATCTGCTCTAAAACCTATGGATTTCTAACTAAATGGTGTAACTTAGTGGAACCAAAAATCTCAGACCATGCTCCCATTGTTTTCAGATGTCTCCGTATTTCCAAAACCATGTATACACATGCTGACACACTGGGCCAACGTGGCAAATTCCCTCTTAGGTAAAGCTTACAGATGTGGTAAATAATTTCTTCTTTGAATTATTTCTTTTAATCACATTGGCAGAGAATTTAGGTTGAAACAATTGCTAGACTATGCAAAGTCCTTCATAATTGTTTTATAACATCCTACTTTTGAATCGTGTCAAGGCATGGATGTTTCTAGGGTCATCTGAAACTCTTCTGTAAATTGTGAAAAGGAATTTATCTGTTTTTCTAAGATATAACATCTGCTTCTGTGATTATAGGACCTAGCCACACCACACAAATGAAATCAACCCATTTAATACTTTCCACCCTGTGAAACTCAATCAAGAATATTAATTGTTAGAATGGATTATGAGATACTCATAAATGATCACTGTAAAAAATTAAGAGTGATTTAGGAACAGATGGGGTCTTAGAATCACCAGGACATTCCAGAAAGTGAGATAGGTTTTCAGAAGCCTCGACAGTTAAGAAGCACCTGGAGATCAGCTATGAATGAACCAGGCATAAACAATTTGAATGCAGTTTTAAAAGTCAGCATATTAACTAGTGACTCTTTGTAGTCTGAGAAGAACTATGTATACCCTAAAGGTTGTTTTGCTTCTATGTAACTCAGCAATGCCCATGTACTATAGAAACTCTCTCCTCCTGTAATTTACTTGAACAATCTAAATAATCAAGGAAATGCATTATTTTATTCAATCTGACAATTTTATTAAGCAGTCTGTTTTCCCTAAATATGAATTTTCTTTGTTTCCTTGTTGAGTAAAAAGCTACCTCGGTGTAATTTATTCAACAAACTTAACCAATATTTATTATTTTATTGTTCCCTATTTCTTTTATTTCACTTGCAATTTTTGGGTGGATTTTTGCCAAATTAGGTCAGGCATCATGTAATCTGATTTTGTTTTATATGAAAAGACACATTGACTTCAGTCCCAGTTCAAACAGATGGAATGGAAACATTAGGTGGTAGATATAAATCTTGATACATCATTCTAGCTTTGGAAATTCTAAATGCTTAAAACCTCTACATTACAGTATATTCTACAGAATATATAATTTAAGTAAAATCAAGCCATAAATACTGAAATAATTTCTTTCAAAAGGCTTTTAAAACTATTATTTTATTAGTTTATTTTAATTTTATTTTTAGTTTATTATGAACTGTTAGGTTATCTCAATATTACAAAATATGAAACTGATACAAATTTTATTTTCTTTGGCAATTTATAAATTTATAAAAAGGAGGAAGAATTTTGTTGTTGTTGTTGGTATAGGTCCTATTGCAAAACTACAAAGTACTAATCAAACTAACAATAGTTTGTTTCGAATAGCTTACTTTGAATAACTGAATGTTGCCTTTTGTTTAGACTTCTTAAAATGAAAAGTTTTAGTCCCAAAAGAAATAAAAAGTATATAGAACTGAAGCTGATCCTTTGAAACATGCCGCCACATTACACTGCTATGCTTGTGTGCTCCCTAGGAATTTGCACACAGACTTTGCACCTTTAAAATATGTTGGCAATGCCTATATAACCAGAAGGCTCTGATTCGAGAAGAAAGAAATTTCTTTATTCCATGTGGGCAGAATATATTTCACCCAAACAATTTTGGTTTCTGCCCCAAAATACATGGATTCTTGCTGGGGTATGTGAGATAGGAAGTCCAAATTAGAGATCTGCTGAATTTAGGAACCAGACTGGTTCAGTGAAAGATAGATTGGGAACACAAATCTCAACACCCAAGTATTTATATTGACATGTAGGATGGTCCTTAATTTAGAAAATTATGCTACAATCTTCCCCCTCACTTCCCATGACTCAGCAATGACTGCTGGTGTATAAGACACTGAAAGATAAAATTAACTCTGACCCAGCTTCTAACATTAGTTTATAAAGTCAGTCTTATTACTTATTCAGGAATTCCTTATCTATAAAATAGGGGCAGGAATGGATTGACAGCGAACTAATAAAAAATGGACATAAATAGAGAAAAAGGCTATTGAACCAAATAAATAATCCTCCATAGATGTAAAAAAATTAAGTTGGCAAAAATCACAGAACGTGAGTTCATATCAGGTTATGAAAAAGCATTGAGTGGCATTTATTTCACAAAATAAACATTTATTATCATGCTTCCTATAGGGGGAAATGCAGCGCTCTTATAAGCTCCATTTTACAGATGAAGAAACTGAGAGGTAGATGACTTGCCCAAAGTAAGTGGAAGAGCCAGGAGTGGAATCCAAGCCATGTGGCCCCAGAGTCTATACTCCCCACCACCAGAGAATCTGGCCTTCCTGCAGGCTATATTTCTAATTTTGTAAGGAGGGAAATAGCTTCGTCTAAAGGAGCCTGATTTTTAGGTACAGGAGAGTTTGGTCATCTTGTCTGCAACCCTCTCCTAGATTTCATTCCTTATCAATTGTTTTCCTGAAAAGATTAGAATTAAAAAAATCTTTTCAATGGAAAGGGAGAAAAAAATCTCATACAATCTTTCAGAGTTATAGGAACCACTCAGGAGAAAGGCCAAGGAGAAAACAGGAAGAGCTGAGGAACATAACACGTGACACTTACTCTGAGAAAAGCACAGACCAGCCAGAAATGAAGCCGGGATCTCGGCTAAACCACAGCAGGGCCATTACCAAGAAGAGGACCAAGGTCACAATTTCTTGAGACCTGTGGGAAAATGCCAATCCTTTCGTTTATTTTCTCAGTCTGGACATTTGTAGAAACTCGCTGAGCTATTGTCAGGAGTAATCTTAGCAGACTGTAAACATTGTAAAACCCGGATGTGTCAACACCGTAATTGGAAAGAATCAGCGAGATCAGAGGAGGACGTCACTCCTCTGTGGGTCTTTCAGCTTCTTGTCAATCTACCCGGTAAATCTGAGTTAGACGAGATATGTGTTTTGTCAAGATGAGTTATATTCACAAAGGTTAGAACATTCAGCACCCTTACCAAGTGTTGTCAATGCACGACAGATGATTACGTGCTTATTTGCCTGGAAATAAACCCTTGAAGTATAAGCAGCATACCTCTGTGTGTGTGTGTGTGTGTGTGTGTGTGTGTGTGTGTGAATCTTACCTTATTGGCCCAAGTTTTTGGTATTCTTGTTTAATCACCTCGGCACAAGCCTTTTGTCTGAATGTTTTGGTCTTGCCACATTTGAACATCTCCTTAACACTGAAAAGAATAATTGAACATGTTAGGCAAAGGATTCTCCCTTTACGGAAGATAATTGTGTGAAAGTTTCATAAAACATGAAAATATGACTCTCCCTAATAACAGAAATCTGTGCTTTTCGCCTTTGCCTCCATCTCCTTCTTCGAATGTTCTCTCCTCTTTTTTCTGTTTTTGACTGATTTGCACATTTTTCAATGCTTAATTTCTCTTCCATATTTTCCACGACATCTTCTACTTATCTCTTCCTTTTCCAAGTCCTTTTGCACCATTAGAATTTTGCCATGTTCCACTCATCTCTAATTTAACACTTTATTATATACCTGATTGTTATATATTTTAATATGTAGATTGCATATCTTGATTGTTAACTGTTGCATATGTCTAAGTTTTATCTCATCACTTATACAACAAGTTATTCGAGGGAAGAGGCAGTGTCCTAGATGTTTTCTTTGGCTTGGACTCTCTAAACACTGGTATACACAGTAATTATCGACTCATTATCGACTCAAAGGCACTATTAACTCAATAGTACCTTTGTCAAATTTAGGAGACATTTGTCAGATGTATCATTTTGCACAAAATATGCTAAACTTGAGTTATACACTAGGGCAGGGAAGTCACATACACTAATCATGGACAGAGTCCAATCTATGTCTATTCTCAGAACTAAATCAACTCTATTACATTTTTTTCAAGTTTTTCCACCCCTTATGTCCTAATAGCACCCACTAGATAATTTTCCAAATTGTTTCTAACAGTAACTGCCAGTCTCTATTTCCTTTAGCTGCTGATTTTAGTGACCCTTTTCTCCTATGACTAATTTTTCTGTCTTGAAGTCCAGGGTCTTCAAAACCTTGAAGAACTTTTGTGAAGCACTGCTCTAGACTGAGATCTATGGAAAAAAAAGTCCCTCCAGAAGAAGAAACAAATGGAAAAATGGCTAGATTCTTAGGGACTATCTCTTGGAATGTCTATGAGTGGCTCAGTTGGATTACATTATTTGTAGGTATAGAAAGCACTTCTGAGTGTAGAGCCAAAGGAATTGAAATCTGGATGTCGAAGAGATACCTGCACTCACGTGTTCATTGCTGCATTATTCACAACAGCCAAGATATGGAAACAACTCAAATGTCCATTGACAGACAAGTGGATAAAGAAAAGTGGTATACACAAACAATGAAGTATTATTCAACCTTCAACAAGAAGGAAATCCTGCCCTTTGTGAGAACATGAATGGACCTGGAGGACGTCGTGCTAAGTGAAATAAGCCAGACACAGAAAAGCAAACACTGCGTGATCTCACTTACACGTAGAATCTAAAATAGTCAAACACAAAGAAGCAAAAGGTAAAAGGAAGGTTGCCAGGCACTTGGGAGAGTGGAAAATGGGGAGGTGTTGGGCAAAGGATACAAAGTTTCAGTTATGCAACAGAAACTCTGGAGATCTCCTGTACAAAATAGAACCCAGGATTAACAATACTATGTTGTATACTTAAAAATTTGCTAAGAGGATAGATCTTATATTAAGAGTTCTTATTACATAAATAAATAAAGAGGATGGTAGGAAACTACTGGATTTTGGATAAGTTTATGGCATTGATATTGATGATGGTTTCATGAGTATATACTTATTCCCAAATGCATCAAGTTTTGTATACACTAAATATCTACAGCTTTTTGTATGTCAATCATACCTCAATAAAGCGGTTTTAAAAAAAAGAAAGAAAGCAAACAGGGGCATTCCTTCTGAAAAATTGCTGGGGTAAACATGGATATTTATGAGGGAGTAAATAGGAAGACTGGGGTGGTGTGAGGGTAGCTCTCACACAGACAAATTTTATTTATTTTTTCTGTAACTCAGCTACTCAAATTTGTCTGGACTGTTATTCTCTTTGAAGGAGCAGAGTTTCCTCAATTCTTAAGTCATCCATCCTACACATTCATAATCACTCTCCTGCACACACTCCAACCACTGAACATAATTAGACGGATGCTGTTGCATTTAAAATCAGTGAGGTAATATTTAATCTTTATAGTCTCAGTTAAGTTACTGACTAGCACCAGTCTTGAAATTTTATCCCTTCTCACAATATAAACACTACTATTATAAGAAACTAACCTGTGGGACACTTTGAGAATCATCTGTAGAATAGGAAAGTAGAGTTAAAAAAAGGATGAGTCTCCTTAGAAACTGTTTTCCACCCAGTAGACTGCATCTGTACTTTGTCACTTTGGTGGGGGATAATAAATAGTTAAGCCAAAGCCAAATTGGCTTTGCTACAAATGAAGGTTAATGCCTTCACAAAGGAACTGATGAAGCAGATGACAATGCATCAACCTCGCCATTTAACTAAGTTCGGTGGCACTGACAGATGAGCTTTTCTTCCAGATAGGTAGGGGTCATTTATAATGCGTGAGTTAACTGTGTTAACAGCCAACACACTAATCAGAATGTATGGTAGCCTGCCAGGGGAGTGGCTGATAATTTCTGTTTGTCTATCTCAAACCTCTGGAGGTGAATACCCTGGTAGACTTTAAAGGACACTGAAAAATTAGCTGGAGCACGAAGCTATGCAATGTCTACCCAACAGTGGACAGCAAGGGGACTGTTGAAACATGCCACTGATGATGATTTATGGACTTTGCCTAATGCACACACTTCACAGGATTCTTTTCCTTGTAGAAAACACATTTCAATACATCTTCCCTTTATCTTCCTAATTTCTCCTTTTTAAGTGTTGGGCAATCTCAAAATAATGACAGTGCTTGCATATATATTTTATAAAATCATTATATATAGCAAAAACGGAGAAAACAACAGTGGGTCTGTGACTGGATGCTTTCTCCACTGGTGTGGGAGAAACCTGCATCCTGCATTGTTGCCTGTACTATTGAACAGATCCCCAAAGGCTTGGATTTCCAGGAAGGGGCATTTAGTATGCAGCTGGCCTCTTCCCACTGATGCCCACCTGCTGAAGTCAGTGACATTCCACACATTTGCTTCGGCAGGAAGACTGCCACACGCTGCTCCCACAATCTGGACCAATAGATTTTTAAAAAAATCCTCAGTACCATCTCCCCACTACTAACAAAATTGTAGCAGTTCTAGAGAAGAACCAGGAAGAGGAACTGAGAGGGAAGAACACCAGTCCTTATCTGACCAGGCTTGGAACATTCAGGCCGAGGCACGGACAACCACCAGATCTCACTGCTTTGCTTTTCAAAGGAAGTTCCTGACTGCAGCCTCACCTGCTTGGTGGGTCACGTGCTGTTTTACTCATAGGGGCTTGAAATCATTTAAATAAAGCCCTATAAAAATGATTTGAACTGTTGTTTTTCAGGAAAAAGTCCCGAAGGTTTAATAGACAGCCTTTCCGCCTTTCTTTTTGGAGTATTGTTGTTTGTGTTGAATATGCAATGCTGCAGTTTAGATTCTGCTGTGGAGCCCTGCCTGATTTTAAATGCTGGCCGTCATTGAAGTCATGTAACTCACTGGTGCTTATGAACCACCAGCTTCAGTCCTAGCCAAGGTAATATCTGCATATTTGCCTAGAATATATATGTTTGACATTTTAGCAGCTCTTTATTGATCAGTATTTCTTTCCTTGACTTCTACACTTTCAACTGGGGCCCAGACGTGTTAGAATTACAGCGTTGGAAGCCAGCTGACTGATCCTCTAGTTAAAGTCTATCGTTTTACAGTTGAAGACACTGAGACTGAGAATGGATCAAGCCTCACAAAGATCACTCACCTGGCTTGTGAGAAGCCACAACTGTATCCCTGGTCTCCTCATTCCTGATCCAATATTCTTTCCATAGAGAATACTCTCAGACTTTGATTTTAGTTTTTCAAGGATGTGTCAACTTTCGTGTTAAGATGAAGCAGGAAATCTTGCATGTTACAGTTTAAAGTAACTTGATAACCTGAGGGAATCCCCACATTAAACCACGAGGAGGGGCAAAATTTCTTAATATTCCACTTTAACAATTTGGACAGGGTCCTCATCATGGTGAGCTCCTTATGTCCTCCGGATCTATCAATACCTTATTGGCTTAGGATTCAAAGGAGACCAAGATAGACTTGCTTTCTACAAACTCTCTTCCACAGGCAACATTGCTTAGGTGTTATTCTAGCTTATCCTTAAAATATGTGTTCTTAGGTGTCAGTTTTGTAGGGAACAGAAATGCAGGAATGCAACATGCACGAAATAGGTCAAAGAAGGTTGGGTGAGGAGCTAAGAACTTGGAACCTAGACACCTTTGTTTATCTGATTAACATGGAATATTTACTTACTTGAATCCTAGGAAAAGCCACTGAAGCCAGATCCAGGACAAGAGTAGAATAATAATAGCAGCTGGGAAGGTGAGCATAAACCATGATCCAAAGTTGATGCAACGACAGTCAGGGTAGCGTCTGTGTGAAAATATGGAAAAGTGTTCACAGGAGTACAAGTGGCATCTTCTCTGATGGTCATTGCTAAGCAGCAGTTCACATATTTGCTGTGCTACCAGCCAAGAAGGAAGATATGGGACATACTCACCATTACACATAGTAGTTACTTTTCTCCCTGAAAATAAAATAAGGGGAAAGGCTTAAGCTTGTTTCCCCTCAAATTATTAGACTTGGATTACAGGTCAATGACCTAAGTTAGTCTGTTCAGCCTAAAGACATTTAGAAATGCTACTTGGATTAGGGTCAAAATAATCCCCCCAAACCACTTTCATTGTTCACCATCTGTGCCTCGTATCTTGAAATCAAGCTGCGTCGTTCTCCCCACCTACTATGGAGAATCCTGTGAGATTTGTTTGGCTGAAGATGGGCTTTTCAGCATTTTTGCCTGGAGGGATAGTTCATTTAGGAAAATGAAAGCCTGAAAAAGCTAACCTCTGTTTTTCCATTTTGTTTTCGTTTTTTTCTTCAGTAGTAAGAAGTATATAAACAACCACCAGGACTATGGTCTCCATCATCATCACCATTAGGCTTACATCTAGAGCGAACATTTTGAATGCTAATGAAATGGTTGGCATACTCTAAGTAAGGGATTAGTTTCATTGTGGTGTTCCTTTTTCTACTTCCTCATACCCTCTAAGTGAAGTGACTGCAAGTGTCTGCCTGATGCAAATGAAGATTTCTTATATTGTGAACTATGCTAATTACATTTAATTCTGAATAGAATCCTTTTCTTTCACTTAACACTGTGTCTTGGGGGTAGAGTGGTGAATTAGATGGACGTAGTCCAGGCTCTTATAAAGTTTACATTTAAGTGAGGAACACAGGCAATAAATAGGTAAGCATATAACAAATCAGAAAATAAAACAGAAAAATGTAATTAAAAGTTATTAGGAGGAGGGAGAAATTTTACACAGGGTGGCCAAGGAAGGTGATATTTGAGGTGAGATCTAGATTGCAAGAAGGGGCTAGTTTATGTAAATAACTGGGAAACAGTATTCCAGACAGAAGAAATAGCAAGTACAAAGGTCCTGAGGTAGGAGTGAGTTTGGAATGTTTGGGGATCATACAGAAGGCCAGTGAGGCTGTAGGTAGTGACCTAAAGTTATAGTGACGTGAAATAGAGTCCAAGGAGCACCCAATAGATGTCAGATCATATATTACCTTGTGGGCCATCAGAAGCGATTTGGATTTTAGTACAAATGCAATTAGGAATAAGTGGAACATTGTAAATTAGTGATGTGATCTAATTTAAAGTCCACGTAAATTTGTGATTTACATAAAACATGTTGGCTAGGTGGATTCTCAAGATTGAAGACAATAAGAGTGGAAGCCAGGATGTGATAGAATGAGCTCCAAGATGACTCCCAAGATTCCTGCCCCAGGTACATATGCCTTGTACAACCGTCTCTCCTCTGTGTGCATAGAACTTGTGCATATGATGAGATTTCACTCCTGCAATTAGGCTCTTTTATGGCAAAAATGAAAGGATTTTGCAGAGGTAATCAAAGACCCCACCAATTGACTTTGAATTAATCAAAAGGAAGATTATCTTGAGAGGACCTGACTTAATCAGGTGAGTCCTTAAAAGAGAGACTTTCCTGCTGGCCTAAAGAAGTAAGCTTCCATGTTGTCAAAGGAAGGGACTACATGACAAGGATCTACAGGTAGCCTCTAGGAACTTAGAGGGATCCCGTGCCAATCGTCAGCAATAAAATGGGCACCTCAGTAATTCAACCTCAGGGAACTAATTTCTGCCAACAACTTGAATGAGTTTGGAATAGGATGCTGAGCACTTGTGGAGATCTCAGGACCGCTTGTCACCTTGATTTCAGCCTGGTGAGATCCTGCGCAAAGGACCTAGATAACCTGTGCCTAGACTCCTGACCGACAGAAATTAGGAGATAATAAATTTGTGCTATTTTAAGCCACTAAATTGATGGTAATTTATAACAAAGCAAGAGAAGACAAATACACAGGGGAATCTATTAGAAGACAAAAGAAGTTTTTCAGAGGAATAGAGTAGAGAGTAGAGTAGATTTTAGCTTAAATTAGATTGGTGGCAGTGAAGATGAAGAGAAGGCAATAGATTTTAAATATATTTGGGACAAATGTGGGAAACAGGGAAAAGGTGCCATTTATTGAAATTAAGTCTGAGAGGAGAACGGGTTGGCAGAGGGTAATGGAGTGGCAGATTAAGAATGTTGCTGTAGGCCTGTTAATTTGAGATGTCCCTTAGTTTTCCAAGTGGCCATGTTGGATAGCATCTTGGATAAATGAGTCTGGAATTGAGAGGTGAGGGCAGGTGAGAGATGTAAAACTGGTAGTTACCCACATATAGGTGATACTATAAACCGTGAACATGAGTGTGATAATTTCAGGAGGAAATGCAGATAAGAGGAAGAGAGAATTCACCCTGGACTCTAAGTTTTAGAGGTCAAGCAGAGGTGTAGGAATGAGGGAGCTAAGTACATTTAATTCTAACGAAAATCCTGTGAGGAAAGCACTATATTTCCATTTTACACAGGAAGACACTGAGTCTGAGAAGGTTCAGTGGATTGCTCAAGGTCACGGACTGCACAGTCAAGCTGGGTTTTTAACCCAGGAAGAGTGTTTAAAACACAATCTCTTTTCATCAAAGCATAGTGTCTTCAACTCCAGCTCCCAGGTAAAAATAGAAAATTCCATACATATTGCAAAATATCCATAAACTAGAATACAAACGTTTTGTTTTAAGGACATTTTAGAACACTACAGGAATGATTGCATGGTAACAGGGACGTGATTTGACCTAAAGCATACAAGAGTGCTGATGCTGAAACTTAGGAAGATACTGATGCTGCAATCCTTATGCCCAACTACAAAATGATGAATAACTTTAACAGTAATGAAAGACACAGAAATGGTCTCAAAAGAATGGATATAGTTGTAGAAATTTGCAGCCTCGTAACACGTTTTGGACACTAAGAACACTGTAAGTTAGTGTCCACACTGATTATAGTTCTTTCGATTAATGACTGCTTTGATTATTTCTGAGTCAAAGCCATTTTTCAGTTTTGTATTTGTGTATTTCCAGAAGTTTCTTTCCAAATATTAACTACTTGTTATTTATGAGCCAGGCTTAGATTTCAAACAACAACGACAGCAAAAGTAGAAGCAGCAACAACAATGACTAGCTTATTGACAATTTTCTATGTACCAGGCTGTCTGCTAAGAGCCACAAGGCATTATGCCATTTGATCCTCACAGTAATGTTGTAAGTTCTAGTATTGCCCCCATTTTTCAGATAAAGAAATTGATGCTTACGGAAGTTAATATACAGCAAAATTGAAATCTGAAGCAAGGTCTGAGTCCAAACTCTGTAATATCCAAATTTCTTCTTTGATGCTTGCCAGAGAAATTATTTCTGAGAAATACATGTTGCTCATCTACACAGGGGAAAACTGTGATAACTCTTGAAGGTGACTTTTTCTGGGTAACTGGTTCGCCTTCTCCCTCTGGAATTAGCCCATAAGAGAGGTTATGGAGGTGGTCTTTGAATTTAGGGCACCTGGAAACACGTCTTTTACCACTTCTTGTTTTGTGGACCTCTTGTAGATATTACTGAACACAGAATTAGTAACAGTGACTGTGCTAGTCATTGATAATACAACTTCCTTCCAAGCTGCTCTGGACACCCACAGATTTCACAGCTGGCACCCACGAGCTGAACAATATTCTTTGATAATCAGTAAGCTATGAAATTTTACTTGTGATAATCTTCCATTCTTACTCTGGTAGATTTGTTTTTTTGTATTTAACTGATAGCTGTTGTGTTCATTAGATGATACTGATGCATCAAAACTACTCTGCTATGAAAGCAGTAATTGTCCCTCATAATATTGCCCTTAATAACTTTGTTTTAATATCAAAGCATTATTTAGTTATTTAGATGATTCCCAAGAACAATCAGCACTTCATTTATAAAAGTCTTCATACCGTTCATCTCAACCAATGTTTATTGATCGCCTACTTGTGCCTCTTGTGGGCTAAAAGAAGTATAAGATCGTGCTTCATTCAGCCTTTACAGCTTGCAATCATCAGAGGTGGTGGTGTGCATGTGTGTGGATAAGACGAGTTTATAAAATGTGAACATAGTTTATGATAAGAGGAGATGGGAATGGCAGTTTAGGAGAAAGTGAACAGAGTTTCAAAGGATATAGCAACTACACAAGTAGAAAAAGAAGCTGACAGAATTGGTGGGTCTTTCATGAACCAGAGTAGGACGAAATGGGTTAATTCAGGGTGGTATTTATTAACAATAGCATTAGGAAAGGCGGAGATCAGGTGATGACTGGAGGAATACATCAGTGGAGGAGAAGGGCATAAGGGTCACGTAGAGAGCATTGATGGAGCAGGATTTACCTAATGAAGAGCCAATAAAAATCTAAAGCATCTGTAAGACTGTTACAGGAGGTAAGTAAAACATAAGATACTTCCTGAATGCCCTATTCCAAGCATTAGTCAGACTAATGGTGAATTAATCACAGGGGAGTCAGAATTTAGGTGGCACGGGTACTAGCTTCAAAGATTAAGAATGCAAGAAATTTCATTCTTTATAGTTGAGTTAAATAATTAGCTTGGTCTTGTTAGTATTATTCTAAAAATCACCTTCCAAGCTATCCATCAGCTTGTGACAACAAGAGAAAGGTTCAGTCTAACTAGCCAAATATTCAGCTTTGCAACTATTTCAGATAATACTTATTATGAATGCATGTTTATATTTTATAAAAAGAAAATGCAACATATGAATGTGAATACCGATGCAGTCCTTATTTGTTACTGGCAGCAAACTTGCTTTTTTAGAATTTTGTCAACAGGGCACCTTCACATATGGTCTGTGAGGCAATGAGGCTGCAGAGTGGAAAATGTACCAGGCCACTTGCCTTCACCTGGAAGTTTCCACTGACTAGTGATCCTCTCTTAAGTTCTCTGAGCCTTGGTTCCTCATCTGTGAAATGAGGGAGTCATATACATAATCTGACATTTCTCTGTCTTCACTTGTTCTATTCTTCCCTCTCATTATCACTCAGGAGGATGTCCTTCTTTTCCAAGACTAACATTTCTACTCTTGTTTCTAATTTCATTCTGCTTCCACTTGACTCTAAGCCAATCAATGTTCTCTCTCCTTTTTTCCCCCCAAACCTCACATATCTCTGTGATTTCTACACTCTAGATTTTTAATTTCTGTGTTCATATATATAGCCCCAAATTTATAACAAACTTGAACAATGCATCTGCAAATGCCTGCTGGAAATCTCCTTGTGGAGGGGCTCTTCGCAGGCTATTTAAATATATTCAAAATCAACTTATTAATTTCTCCATGAATCTGCCATGTCTTCTCTAGAAGTTCATGGCATCACTATGCAGCTGTATTGGCAAAAACTCCCAGAGTTTCCTTAACCCCTCCTTACTCTTAAACCCTCACGCGTAATTACTCACCACCTTCTGGCTGGCTGTGCAGTCTCTTCAGTCTAAATCTTCCAATCGCTTCACCGCTAGCCTTGTTCTGCCCCTCATCATTTGTCAGCACTTTCGTAATGGACTCCTAATTGGTCTCCTGTCCCCAGACTCTCAGAATGCCAATCAATCTTCGCACTGCTTTTCTAAGCTGTGCAAAAAACATGCACAGACTATTCTACTCTCACTCTTGAAAACCTGTCATAGACTTTTTGTGTTTTGATTTTATGAATTATTTGCATTCATTTTCTCCATAAGCATGGTGTTTCTCTCTTTTAAGATTGGACCACGTTGTATGGACAAATTTTCTCTAGTGACCAAGGGGTGCTGCACACACCTACAGTCCCCTTTTAGATGCATGTCCAGCTATGTTTCTAGGGAGGTAATTTTTTATGGAGACGGACTTTGGGGTCTGACTGCTTTTGGTTTGGTCCTCAATCTGCTAAGCTGAACCTCAACTTTCTCAACTCTGATAATAATAGTAACCAACACTTACTGAGCACATGCTCTGTGCTAGGCACTTTTTAAAGTGCCAGTTATTTTATGTAAAACTCTAAACAACTCTCTGAGAGAGGGATCTTATTATTGTCCTTATTTTTCAGGCAAGGTAACCAGCTTAAAGAGATGAAAGAATTTCTCAAATTCACCTAGCTTGTAACAGGAGAGCTGGAATTTGAACACAGACATTTTGACCCCAGAGGCTATGCTGTTAATCGCCATTATATTCCACCTCCACAGCAAGGATATACAAGATACGTGTACACTATGATGTACGTAAATTATCTGGCAAGGGCTCAATACATGTCGCTTTACCTTCTCCCTAAATGTCAAAAAACAAATGTTATTATGTTTTTAAAATTTTCATGGTTTTCACATATGTACGTTTTGTCTAGACAACCAGATGGAATCTTCTTCCTGGCAGGTTTTATTTTTTGCATTCTCCAAAAGAATTCAAAACAGTGCCTTGCACATTGTCAGTTCTCAACAAATGTTTGTTGATTGACTGAGTGAATGAATGAAAGTCTGTTTTGATTTGCACTGAATAAAATTTAGCTTTCTCAGAATTCATTGTTCTTATTTTCTTTGTGTAAAAAAAAGAGAACAAAAGATGTATATATATGCATATATAAACATTTTATATATATGAGATAGATAGATAGATAGGGAAAGGCTTTGAACTGTGTACTCCAATCTCTTCCTCCCATTATTTGTAAGATGGCACCTTTCTCTAAACATCAGTGGTGGGAAATCATTGACTCTCAGGTTTCATGCATTTCTTTGTTGCTGGGTGAGACCCAAAATGAAATTGTAAAAATTGATTATTGGTATTGCTCAAAAAGATGGCAAACAGTGTCAAGAGGGAAAAATTGACATTATTGTAGTGGATTTGAAAATAAAGGACGATTTCTTTCTAGCTCCAAACATCTGGACAAAGAATATAATTTTTTTGTGCAGTTTTAAGTTCCTGGGACTTTTTCTGATGAAATTGAATGCATTTCGTTCCATTCTTGCTTTCAGATGCTGTTGTAGTTTTTAGGGCTATAATTTAAGAAAAATGTTATTAAATATCTAGCTTATTTAATAATATCAGTTATATTTTTCACATGAGTTGTTTTCCCCCTTCTATGCCACTGTTTTCTATTAAGAGGGGATGCTTTGAGTTTTTTTTTCAAGTTTGCATTTAATTCCTAATGTTAAAAAAACCTTTTGAAGAAAAAAACACCACTAAATTTCAAGTACATTTTAAGAATTTCCTAAATTTAAAGAGCATTTTGGCCAAATTCCCCTGATTAGGAAAATTAGAAGATTAGCCAATTAGAGAAAATAGTAACTGAAACATCTTGTTCAAAGAGCTACAATGCTCTCAATCTGTCATCGCAAATGGATTAATGCATTCAAAGAGTCAAGGGAACAGTTAAATAAAAGAAAGAAAATTTGGTTGATACTTTGTGCAAGAACACAAAGATCAAAGGTGAACTCGATATGGATTACTTTGACAACAACAAGTAATTTCATGGGAATGGTGGAAACCAGCAGTTCTTTAACACCAACAAGGATAAAACCATAAAAATTTGCTGTAAATTTTAGAAAAAGAGATTTACAGAAAGGACGAAGATGTGGAATCTCTTTCCTTGGGAAATTCATGAGAAAGGATAGAAGTCCAGCTTTCAGAAAGGGATCAAGTATATTTCCTGTCTTAGCGGATACATATGAGGGGATACGTTGGACGAACACTCTCTGGCACTGTGAATTTCAGAAGCCTCCCACTTATAAACCAATGTCTTTCAAAGCTTCCAGTCTAAGTTGGTTGTTGGAGTGTGCATAATGGATGTGTACTCATAGAAACAACAAGTACACCTAGAGGTCTGTCTTATATCATCCCTAAACTGTGATACTAGTGTTTTTTTGTACACAGTTTCTTGTTCTTTCTAGAATGAAGAGTGACTTGTTTTGAGTCTTGGATTTCTTGGAAAAGCTATGCATGCGCAAAATCTTGCAAATAATTTTAAAAAGTTCCTGCAGTCTGTGAATCTGCTTCCTAGGGAGTAGCTTTCCAGCCTCTGAACTGTAATTTTTCTGTGAAAAGGAACGAAATTCTGTTCCAGGGCATTCTTAATGCTGCACACCTTCCTGGAGCTCTGACAATTATCTGTGCTATTAGTTGAAAATATACCTTGGGTGTAGAGCCAGTTTGAGCTCTCACATGAGTCGTGGACTTTCAAAGATTCTTTTCTAATTTGGACTTGCAGGCTATTGTTTCAATAGTTCTTACACAGTGCTAAGTATTTTTACATCGTTTACTTCATTTGAGTCTCACAATAATCATATGAATTGTGACTATTTTAGATCTGAAAAATTAAGTCTTGGGAGTGTAATGTACGTTTTTATTGTTCAAATTTACAAAGTGAAAATTGTGGAATTTTTAGCCCAAGTGCTCTGACTGTGTCCACAGATTCCCCATTTTCTGCAACAGATGATATCACCGTTCCAAACTTGCACTTAGGATCATATATCTGTCCTTACAATACTTATTACTGCCATTTCTTATAACTGCCCAATCCTTCAAATCTGTTTAAATTCCAAAGCCAAACCTTTTGTAATTAGCACCTTTGTTCACCACTCATCATTCAAGTTCAAACACCAATCCTCAAACCCTACATAAATTATCCCACGCAAATAATCCCCTTTCATTTTGCAGTCTTATTTGTAGTGAAAAATGTTTTCCCTATTTGATTAGAGTTTTCAGCCAGGGGTTATCTCTTCTGAGCTGACCTGGGGACTCTGTAGGGACCTCTTAATTCACTCTGTGCTACATATTTAGCCCCAGTATAAGAGAAGGTCTCTATAACTAAAGATGTCCTGATGGAGAGCAACAGAGAGTTAACTCAATATAGCATCTCTGTCCTTGGATTCTCTGAATCAGGTGAGAATAATTCTTATAAGTTGTATGCTGTCCATCTATTAAACTAGCAATCCAGTAATGTTACTTACATATTGAAATGCTCAGCGAAGATCAAGTTGGTGGAGGTACCAGTGATGGTTGTCAGTCCACCAATGGTGGAAGAGTAAGCAATGCACAAGCACATAAGTTTACACATCATGTGGTCCTTCTCTGTTCGATATTTGTTTCCTGTGCCTGCGTTCTGTTCAACAAGAAAATGTAATATGAGAACAGCTCTATTTGTGTTCATAACAAGCAGTAATAGCATTTGCTGTAGACTGAATGTTTGTGTCCCCCTCAAATTCATATGTCGAAGTTCTAACCTCCAGTGTTACGGGATTTGGAGATGGGGCCTTTGGGAGGTAATTAGGGTTAGATGAGATAATGATGGCGGGGTCCTGGTCTGATGGGATTAGTGCTCTTATAAGAGGAGACACCAGAGAGCTTGATTTCTCTCTCCACCATGTGAGAACACAGCAAGAAGGCAGCTGTCTGAAACCGAAGGAGAGAGTCCTCACCAGACAATGATCCTGCTGGTACTTCTACGTTGGATTTCCAGTCTCCAGAACTGTGAGAAATGAATTCCTGTTTTTCAAGCTACCCAGTCGACGGTATTTTGTTATGGCAGCCTAATTTTATAGCATTTGTCTTTCCATCAATAGAAATATAACCATAAAAATATTTAACCTGAAACCACCAAATTATTTTACCCACATAATTTCATTCATTTGCTCAACCTTTTTTCTTATTCCTGAACCAACTCTTCCCCCTCTTCTTCCCTTCTCACCACCACTCCCAAATCTTTCAACTGGTTTTCTATTGAACTGGCAGTGCATTGTCAGTGAGTTCTTCAACTTCTTTTTTGGGGTGTGTCCCTACCTTGGTGCCTTAACCGATGGTCCCCTGAGGATACTACTTCTGAAATTGAGTATTTTCAACCCCATATCCTTCAGTATTGAGAGATGGAGTCATTGTCCTCCTTGCAACTCACGACCACTTAGAGAATGTTAATCCTCTACTCAAATGAAAACAAATCCATTTTTTAAAGGCTCCTGTAATTTGGGTATCTCTTTCTCTCTCCACTCTTTTGAACGTGATATTCTGATCTCTTGGTTACCTATTGATTTCACTTAAGATGACATTTGCATCTGGCACGCAACATTCCTCCATCCTCCAAATTCTGTCAGCACCAGGATAACTATAACATGTTCATGAATGACCCATCAAATATCCCGTCCTCAAAGAATTTTTCTCTTATTTCCAGAGACTTTCAAATCTGCTCTACCTCAGTCACTCTCTCCCATAGTTACACCCTGGACAGCAGCACATCCTTAAATGGTTCCATCTGGGAAATCACGATCTCAAATGTGTTTTGTTTACAAATAGGACTTGCTAGAGGGCAAGCCAAAAGCAACATCATTCTCTCTCTTACCCACGACCCATAAAAACACACTCTGTTGATCTGACTTTTGCTGCCCCTTGGGTGAAATCTGGGGCTGAATCTATAGCTTTTCTGGTCACTTCATTTAATAAATAGTCTTTTGGTCATTTTTAGTAGGAAAAAAGCAAAGACGTCAGTAATTGAAAGCAAAAGTCCCAACTTTATTTAAAATTAAACCTTCTCTTCTCGCCTAGATCAGCCTGCTTAAAAGCCCATAGCTGGAAGGGGGTTTATGGGTTTGGCTTTTTCTCTCTCTTTCAGCTCCAAATCCTTTCACCACTTGCTAGTCTGCTCCTAAACCCTCCATATTTGGAGTGGCAGAGGATGGACAGGATCAGGAGAGGAGTGGTAGGGATTAGCAGAGGTCTTACGTGACTGGCATAATTAAAATATGACATCAGTACTCTTTAGGCACCGTGGCTGTCCAAAATGACTCCATCTGGAAGGCGCTTTTATGGATTCTTAAGAGTCCTATCATCCAAATAGGAACATTGGATTGCTGCTCCTTCTAAGTAGTTAATGCATCTCTTCCACTTCTTCTGACACACTTGTGGTTTCAGCACATGATGGTCCCTCCAGTCACTTTATGCTGAGGTCAACTAGCCCTGTCAAGAAGCCCTCTTGGGGAAAGTAGCTTTTCAAATGACCCCAAATACCACTCCTTCCATGTGTTCCCTCCATCCTTTACATGGAAACAGGTATCTCTGCCCTGTTAGGAGTGAAAGCGCAGCTGAAACTCCATGACGTAAGGAGATTCAGCCATGACCTTTCACTTTCAAGCTTTTCAAGAATGTGTCAAACACGAGTCCACGGATCTCTTCTAAGTCTAGGGGACAGATTTGCAAGTTCCCCAAGTAGTGGTTTCTCCACATCCATCTCACCATCAAGAGGCAAATGGGAGGTCTTCCCTTCTCTCCTCCTTGGTTGTGCAGGCTGGAGGGAGGTTGGGAAAATATTCCAACTTTCTCCAAAGGTGGGCTACATCTCAGCCGTCTCATTTTCAACACTACGTTTGAGTCTAAAATTGTTTTTTGTCATTTCCTTTGCAAATCTTGTGTAAGTGGAATACGGAAATACTTATGGTGCTTGATATCATAGTTCTTCAGGGATGAAACAGTCTCATTCTACCACCCTACTAACCAAGAAGTCTGCTCCTGCAGCGCAGCTTCTTTTTCCAACTTTGCTGCTGCATTGCTTCTACCCCCGCTTCAACTCCACTGGCAAGTCGAGGTCATGGAAGCACCTAGGTATTCCCAGTAGATTGGTCCTCTCCTTTCTTCACTTCCTTTCTTATCCAGTTTAGATTCCATGGTAAGCCAACTCAGTAACTTTCTTTTTAAACCACTTTATTGAGGTACGATTGACATGTACAAAGCTGTACCTATTCAATGTATACCACTCGGTGAGTTTGGGGATAAGCACACACCCATGAAACCATCACCACCATCAATAGCTTTCTTAACAAAACCCTAAACTCTGTTTCTTGTCTTTCTTTGAATGGTAGTTATTTAGCAAAATTTCAGCTTTGAATGAACCCAATCATTTACTTTCTTTGTGCCATGTCTGCCCCTGAGTAGCCAAGTACTGTTGGTGAAATTATGAACATAGTGGAGGAGATTGGATCCCCTACGTCCATGGTCACAAACTTCGACTGCTGTGTCCTTGCTGTCCCTCTACCCTACTATGTTTCCCTGACCAAATTGCTCTGCCTGTCTCCACAGGAAAACTTAAATCCCTCCCTGTTCTCTTTACACCCCCCCCCCCAACACTCCCACCAGCTCTCCACAGGTAGCTTTGCCTCCTGTTCCACAGGTAAAATAGAAGCTGGCAGACAGAAGTCTCACTGTCAAATGTAGAACCCTACTTGCCTCTGTTCTACCTTCTTCTCCAACTTGACGTATGTAATAGACTAAATGTCTCTCCTCCAACTTCTTGTTTCTGGACCCCAAACCCTCAGAACTTCTCAGAAACCCTATAGAATAGACCTTACTGGAATTTTCCCAACAACGTTTAACCATTTGCAAATCATCTTTACAAAAAAGAGGAATTTCTTAACCCTCCTTCCAATTAAACTACTGCCCAACCTCACCTCCATTTTCATAGCCAAACTACTCAAAAGAGTTGTCTACATTCACTGACTCCATTTTCTTAACCACTCCAATCCGGCTTCTGTCTCCCGAATCCACTCAAGATGCACTTGCTCTGATTATCAATAACCTCCAGATCACTAAACCCAATAGATACTTTTCAGTATCAATTTTGTAGACCTCTCAGCAGCACCTAAAAAACTTAATCACTCCTTTCTGCTGGAAAATTCTTCTCTGGGCTTCTGTGATGTCTTGCTTTCCTGGTTTTTCTTCTACATCTCTGCCTGTTCCTCTATTTCCTTTGCCAGTTTGTTTTCCTTTAACCTTCCTTAAAACTAGAATTTCTTGAAACTTCGTCATAAGCAGTTGTCTCTTCTCACAGTAATATTTCTCCTTAGGAAATCTCACATATTTTCACTGATTTAATGAATATAGATATACCAGACCACCAAACTCCTGTCTTCAGCCCAGACTTCTCCTTTTAGGCCTATATTTCCAATTATCTGCTCAACATAATTTGAATGTCTTAAATAAAAGATGCTCCAGTCCCCAAAGTTCAAAATCAAACTCGTGACTTCCTTCCTCAAATGTAGTCCTTCAGGATCACCTATATAAGATAACACCATTACCATCATCATCCTTACGAACACTTACTGTGTGCTTACTAGGTAATAAGCACTGTTTTAGGTTAAAATCAAATAAACGCTTTAGTTCATGTTATTCTTACAACACAATGAGGTTAGTACTGTTATTACCCACTTTGTATGTCTTGAGACACAGAGAGGTTAAGTGGTTTGCCCAAAGTCACAGAACCTGGAAATGGTAGACTTGGATCTTGAAAGCATGTAGAGCTTATACCCTTGGCCACTATACTATATTGCTTGCCCTTGAAATCATCTCTTCCTCATCTCACCTTATCTATTTAAATATTGCTGAACTCTGTTTGGTTTTCTTCATCTCCCTAGCCTTGGTCTAAGTCAACATTATCTCTGGTTTGAGTTACTGTAATAGCCTTCTTATGGGTCTCCTAGAATCAATTCTTGCTTATTTCACTGCAGCATTTAAGAAAAAAAAAAACTAGATGTATTTAAGAAATATACAAACAGAAAAACTACCCTGTTCCACGCAGATAAGCATGCTGTCTGTCACATTGGCACTGAAAGATCTTTTTGAGAAACTATAATAGGAAAAAATTTCTACTCACTAAAAGCCATCATGGAAGTAGGAATGGCATTTAGCCTGGCAGGGTCAAGTGCACTGGATTGTAATTTGTGTTTTACTTTCTAATTAACTTAAAGGTTAGCTCCCAGGGGTATCTATTCTTCATCCTAAATAAGTTAATCTACAAATGTCTCCTTTTGATTTATATTTCCTTCATGGAAATGATTTGTATTTTCCTTATGATAAAGGTTTCCATTGAAAATTTGAAAAAGAAATGATATATAAATAAAATAGCAAAATAAGTTCTAAAATTCTTAGGAGTGATGCAGAGTGATAACTGAAATTTAGAGTTTAAATATTAACTACTTTAGTATAGGAAAGACGTCAAACACAAACCAGAAACTGATGCATAATTTGGATATTATTAAACTGATGATAAGAATGGAAACTGAAAGCTGTAATGTGTATGTAATTTTTCATGCCACATTAAAACTTCCAAAAATAGAAACGAAG